TACTAACTAATATTCAACATAACTAATCTCTAAACAAACAAATAAATACTCCTCCAAAAAACACAAAACACAACAAAACAAATAAAACACAAACAAACTACAAAATCTACATACATCACAACACCACCAACCCCAACCAAAAAAACACACACCCACCCCACACACACCACAACACCCACACACATAACATCACCCCCACACTCCCCCCCACCACACTCATAACCCCAACACACACCACCCCACACCACCCCACACCACACACTCCCACCTCTCCACCAACCCCCCACACACCCACACCCCCTCACTACCTACACACTCCACACACTCACACAACACCACCAATACCACACACCAACACCACCACTACCCACACACAACCCACAACCACAACAACACAACCCCACCCCCCCACACCAAACACTCCACCACCACCCACAACCCACACCACCCACCCCACCACACACCACCCACACCCACCACAACCCCTCCCACCCAACCCCACCCTCACACACACCCACACACACACACACACACCCACACCACCCACACCCACCACCCACCACCCCACCACAAAACCCCACCCACCCACAAAACAACAATCACCACACCACACCACACACATCCAAAACAAACACCACTACCCCCCACCCACACCACACACCCTCACACCACACCACACACCCCCCCACCCCACCCAACAAACCACAACACCACACACACTACCACCACACCACACAATCCCACACACCATACACCTACTCCACACAACCCCACCATCCCACACACCAACCCCCCCCAACCACACACACACACTCATCCCCACCCTCACCACCACCACCTCACTACCCCCCCCCCCCCCAACCCACTCCACTATCAATCTACCCACACACCACACCTCTACACACACTCACTCACAAACCCCTTCACCCAACTCCACCTCACCCCTCACCCCCTCACCATCTCCCACACACTATTCACTACTATCACCATCTCACCATCACACTCCCTCTCACCCCTCACCTCTTACCCTCACCTCACTCTCACCTCACCTTACACCCTTCAACTCTCACCCCTCACCTCACACACTCTCATCTCACCACACTCACCACTCCCCTCACACATCTCCCTCACCCCCTCACTCCCCCCTAACCATCACCTCACTCTCACCTCACCCACACCCCTCTCATTACTTCAACCTCTTCACCCCTTCCACCCCTCACACCTCACCTCACTCTCCACCTTCACTATACCCCATCTTACACCACACCACACACATCTCCCCTCTTTCACATCACCTCACTTCACCACACACACCTCACAACACACCTCACAACCTATCACCTCACCCTCACCCTCACTATCCCTACTCCCAATACACCTATCAACTCAACCACACCCCACCCCACACTATCACCTCTCACATCCCCACACAACACCTCCCCTCACTCTAAACATACACCTACTACACAACACCCCTCACCCCTCATACACACACATCTCCCACACCACACACACCCACACTCAACAACCCACCCACCCCAACACCACACCCTCCCCACACCACACCACACCCAACACACCCATCCCCATCACCATCACCCACACACACTCCCAACTACACACAAACTACCACCCAACACTCACACAACCCCCCCAACACCCCACACAAACACACCACAACACATAACACACACACAACCAAAACACCACATCACCCTAACACAACCACACCCACAACCCCCACACCCCCTCACATCTCACCTATCACCTCACTCTCCCCTCAACTCACCCTCCACCCTCACCTCACCTCACTCTCACCTTCACTCAACCACTCACAACAACCCTCACATCACACACACTCTTACCAACACCACACTCTACACTACACCTCACTCTCACTCTCATCACACTCTCACCACCCACATACCCATCACCACCCCACTCACCTAACTTACCCTCATCACTACACCACCACCCCCCTCACCCCACAACTTCCAACACATCCCAACCCACTCAAACACATCCCCACACCCAACCACCACACACAAACACACCCCTATCCCCCTCATAACCCCACACCCACCCCCACAACCCCACCCCACACACACACCACACCACACCAACACCCACCCACCCAATACACAACCACACACACACACCCCTCACCCCCACCAACACCTCAACTCCACACACACCTCAAATCTCCACCCCTCCACCACTCCCTCTCATCTCTCTCTCTCGCTCTCTCTCCTCTCTCTCCTCTCTCCTCTCTCTCCTCTCTCCTCTCTCTCTCTCCTCACTCTCAAAACTTCTCTCCTCTCCTCTCTCCTCCCATCCCTCCGTCTCTCTCTCTCTCTCTCCTCCTCTCTCTCCTCTCTCTCCTCCCCGCCTCTCTTTCTCACTCTCTCTCCCACTCCTCTCTCTCCCGCGCCTCTCTCTCCTCTCTCTCTCACTCTCGTCATCCCTCTTCTCGTCTGCCCTCTCTCTCGCTCTCTCGTCCCTCTCTCTCTCACCCTCTCAATCCTCTTCTCTCTCTCGCTCATCTCTCTCGTCCTCTCCTCGCTCTCTCTCCTCTCTCTCTCTCACTCTCTCTCTCTAGTCTCTCTCTCTCTCCCCTCCCTCCTCTCTCTCGTCTCTCTCCTCCCACCCTCCTCTCTCTCTCTCTCTCTCCTCCCCTCACCTCTCTCCTCTCTCCTCCCCTCTCCTCCTCCCTCTCTCCCCTCTCCTCACTCTCCCTCCTCTTCTTCCCCTCTCTCTCTCTCCCCTCACCTTTCTTCCCTCTCCTCTACTCTCCTCCCTCTCACACTCCTCTCCTCTCTCTCCCTCTCTCCTCTCTCCCTCACTCTCTCCTCTCTCTCCTCTCTCACTCCTCCTCTCTCCTCTCTCCAATCTCTCTCTCTCTCTCTCTCCCCTCTCCTCTCTCTCTCACCCCTCACCTCTCTCCCCTCTCCTCTATCTCTCCTCCTCTCCCCTCTCCTCATCTCATCTCTCCTCTCCTCCTCTCCGCTCTCGCTCTCTCCTCTCTCTCCTCACTCTCTCTCTCACTCTCTTCACACTCCCATCCCTCCTCTCACTCTCTCTCTCTCGTCATCTCCTCTCTCTCATCTCTCTCTCTCTCACTCTCTCTCTCTCTCTCTCTCTCTCCTCCTCTCCACTCTCTACTCTCTCTCTCTCCTCTCTCTCTCACCTCTCCCTCCTCTCTCGCTCTCTCTCCTCTCTCTCTCTCTCTCTCTCTCTCCCTCCCCTCTCTCTCTCTCTCTCTCTCTCTCTCCTCCTCCTCTCTCTCCTCTCTCTCTCTCTCCAGCTCTCTCTCTCTCTCTCTCCCTCCTCTCTCTCCTCTCTCGCCTCTCTCTCTCTCTCTCTCTCTCTCTCTCTCCTCCCTCCTCTCTCTCCCTCTCTCTCTCTCTCTCTCTCTCTCCCTCCCTCCTCTCTCTCGCTCTCTCTCTTTCCTCTCTCTCTCTCTCTCTCTCTCTCCCTCCCTCCTCTCTCGCCTCTCTTTCTCTCTCTCACTCTCTCTCCCTCTGTCCCCTCTCTCCCCTCTCTCCCCTCTCTCCTCTCTCTCTCTCTCTCTCTCTCTCTCTCTCTCCCTCCCTCCTCTCTCGCCTCTCTCACTCTCTCTCTCTCTCTCTCTCTCATCCCTCCCTCCTCTCTCGCCTCTCTCCCCTCTCTCCCCTCTCTCGCTCTCTCCCTCTCTCGCTCTCTCCCTCTCTCCCCTCTCTCCCTCTCTCGCTCTGACGTCTCTGACTCACGGCTCACTCTGTTCTTTTGCTAAAACACTACGCAGCTCGTCCCTCAGTTCTCACGTGGGACGCTACATTTCAGTGTTCCCATCGAGGCTAGTTTTTGAACAGCCCAGAGAGTGGCAGAAAAAGTCTGTTTTACTCACTGTGGGTTTGTTTGTTTATGTCTCTATGTGGTTTATTTTGAACAAGCATGACACCAGTAGAAAGGACTTTCATTCATAAGAATCTCTGGTCTTTCACTCTGGTCTCACTCTCTTTTGTCTCTCTCTCTGGTCTCTCTCTACCTCTGGTCTCTGTCTGATCTCTCTCTAGTTTCTCTATTGTCTCTCCCTTGTCTCTCTCAAGTCTCTTCTTGGTCTCTCTCTGGTTTCTCTCTCTGCTCTCTCCGTGGTCTCTCTGGTCTCGCTCTGGTCTCTCCAGTATCCTTCTGGTTTCTCTCTCTTTGGTCTCTCTCTGGTCTCTCTCAATGTGATGTAGGTTTCTTATCTGAATCCCCTTCAGGCTGTGGGACCGATTTGGAAAACTCTTCTTGCTCTTTGAAGCTGTGTCTGACGACTGTAGATAAGAACTCAGACACGTGGCTTATTTTTGGGTTTGTTGATACAGGAAGAAGTTTGTAGACCCCTCTTTGGTCTCTCTCTGTTCTCTCTCTGGTCTTCTCTGGTCTCTCTCTGGTCTCTCTCTGGTCTCTCTCTGGTCTCTCTCTGGTCTCTCTCTGGTCTCTCTCTGGTCTCTCTCTGGTCTCTCTCTGGTCTCTCTCTGGTCTCTCTCTGTTCTCTCTCTGTTCTCTCTCTGGTCTCTCTCTGTTCTCTCTCTGTTCTCTCTCTGGTCTCTCTCTGGTCTCTTTCTGGTCTCTTTCTGGTCTCTTTCTGGTCTCTCTCTGGTCTCTCTCTGGTCTCTCTCTGGTCTCTCTCTGGTCTCTTTCTGGTCTCTCTCTGGTCTCTCTCTGGTCTCTCTCTGGTCTCTCTCTGGTCTCTTTCTGGTCTCTCTCTGGTCTCTCTCTGGTCTCTCTCTGGTCTCTCTCTGGTCTCTCTCTGGTCTCTCTCTGGTCTCTCTCTGGTCTCTCTCTGGTCTCTCTCTGGTCTCTCTCTGGTCTCTCTCCGGCCGCAGCCTCCGCCTGTCGCCCCAGAACAGATGGACCCAGGTCTATGGTCTATCGGTAACAGTTGTCTTCCTGAAATAGCGTTTGGCAGCGTGGCCTTATACGTCCCGGCTGCACCGTGTGTGTGTGTGTGTGTGTGTGTGTGAGGAGGCACCATGTGTGTGTGGAGGCACCATGTGTGTGTGAGGAGGCATCATGTGTCCGGGGCCAAACAATACCAGCGGGTCCCGGCGGCGCTCCCTGCTGTCACCATGCTCCTCACGCAGCTCAACCACCAGTGCCTCCTCCATCTCTTCTCCTTCCTGGACAAAGACACCCGCCATCGCCTCTCCCAGACCTGCCCCAGGCTACAGCAGGTCTTTCTGGACCCGTGTCTCTGGACCCGGCTTCAGTTCAGCTCTCCCACTCAGCTCAGGCAGGACAACTTCATCCTGGGGCCCTCGCTGCGGCTCCTGGGGATCAGCTGGTTCTCGGGTCGGGTCCAGCAGGTCTGCAACATCGAGGACTGGCTCAAGAACGAGTTCCAGAAGGACGTCTGCAGCAAGCATCAGGGTCTGGTCCGGGACTTCCTCAAGAGGGTCTGCCACACGTGAGTCCTGCTCCACTCTGGGATCTCTTTCTGGTCTGTCTCTAGTCTCTCTCTGGTCTCTCTCTGGTCTCTCTCTGGTCTCTCTCTGGTCTCTCTCTGGCCTCTCTCTGGCCTCTCTATGGTCTCTGTCTTTTGCTGGTCTCCCCTGCTCCACTCTCAAAGCTGCATTTACAAGATGGTTTTGGAAACATGTCTAATGAGTTGCATTCATGTGACACTCTCTGTGGTCTCTTTATGGTCTCTCTCTGGTGTCTCTGATCTCTAACTTCTCTCTGTGGTCTGTCTCCCTGGTCTCATTATTTTATCAAAAAGATGTCTAGACAATCTCTCTCTGGTCACTCTCTTTGGTCTCTCTCTGGTCTGTCTCTGGTCTCTCTCTGGTCTCTTTCTAGTTTCTCTCTCTCTGGTATCTTTCATAAGTGTCTAGAAAGAAAAAAAAACTCTCTGTGCTCGATAGTAGCCCACACAAAATCACACTTTCTTTCTCTTTCTTTTTATTCACAAAAACATCCACATTTACCGTCTTTGCAGTAATACAACAATAGTGATTAGCCCAACTGGTCATATACCATGTAAGCTAACCTCTTCATCCAGTATTGTGAAAAACCATGGTAACAGCAGGATCTGTGAAGTGTAGCTAATGCTAATGAGGTGTTGGCACCTTCAGCTCTGCAGGTGGTCCCTGTGAGCTGACAGAGGAGCTTTCACCACACACAGACACCGCTGAGACTCAAAGGGACTAATGCAGCTTCACTAATGCAGTTATGAGAGAGACAGGCTCAGTGACCCCGAGGAGGACGCCGGGCGCCTGGTTTCTCTCTGGTTTCTCCAGTGAGAGAGACCGAGAGAGAGACCAGAGAGAGAGACCAGAGAGAGACCAGAGAGAGACCAGAGAGAGACCAGAGAGAGACCAGAGAGAGAGACCAGAGAGAGAGACCAGAGAGAGAGACCAAAGAGAGGGACCAGAGAGAGGGACCAGAGAGAGGGACCAGAGAGAGAGACCAGAGAGAGAGACCAGAGAGAGAGACCAGAGAGAGAGACCAGAGAGAGAGAGACCAGAGAGAGAGACCAGAGAGAGACCAGAGAGAGAGACCAGAGAGAGAGACCAGAGAGAGAGACCAGAGAGAGAGACCAGAGAGAGAGACCAGAGAGAGAGACCAGAGAGAGAGACCAGAGAGAGAGACCAGAGAGAGAGACCAAAGAGAGGGACCAGAGAGAGAGACCAGAGAGAGAGACCAGAGAGAGAGAGACCAGAGAGAGAGACCAGAGAGAGACCAGAGAGAGAGACCAGAGAGAGAGACCAGAGAGAGACCAGAGAGAGAGACCAGAGAGAGAGACCAGAGAGAGAGAGACCAGAGAGAGAGAGAGACCAGAGAGAGAGAGAGTCCAGAGAGAGAGAGAGTCCAGAGAAAATCAAACGGTAAAAAAAAAAACACTTCAAAAACGATAGTTGTTGGAGTGCAATACAAGATTGTTTTTTTTGTCTGCTAACTAAGAATCAATGAATAATATCCATGAGAAACCCTCCTGAACGTGCTTATGGTGTCTCTTGTTTCTCTTTAAACAGAGACACACATGGTATTGTGCTAACGTAAGACAACCATCAATCATTAATTAAGCAGAAATCTGATCCTCGCTCTTCATGTCACGGTAAAACTGAACCAAACAAACATGAAGTACAAGAAGTCTCTCACTGGTCTCTCTTTGGTCTCTCTCTCTGGTCTCTCACTGCTCTCTCTCTCTGGTCTCTCTCTCTGGTCTCTCACTGCTCTCTCTCTCTGGTCTCTCACACTGGTCTCTCACTGGTCCCTCTCTGGTCTCTCGGGTTTCTCTCTGTACTCTTTCCACTGTCCCTCTCTGGTCTCACTCTGATCTCTCACTGGTCTCTCACTTGTCTCTCTGGTTTCTCTATGGTCTCTCACTGGTCCCTCTCTGGTTTCTCTCTGGTCTCTCACTGGTCCCTCTCTGGTCTCTCTCTGGTCTCTCTCTGGTTTCTCTCTGGTCTCTCTCTGGTCTCTCACTGGTCTCTCACTAGTCCCTCTCTGGTCTCTCTCTGGTCTCTCTCTGGTCTCTCACTGGTCTCTCACTAGTCCCTCTCTGGTCTCTTTCTGGTCTCTCTCTGGTCTCTCTCTGGTCTCTCACTGGTCTCTCACTGGTCTCTCACTGGTCTCTCACTGGTCTCTCACTGGTCTCTCTCTGGTCTCTCTCTGGTCTCTCTCTGGTCTCTCTCTGGTCTCTCTCTGGTCTCTCTCTGGTCTCTCTCTGGTCTCTCTCTGGTCTCTCTCTGGTCTCTCACTGGTCCCTCTCTGTTCTCTCTGGTCTCTCTCTGGTCTCTCTCTGGTCTCTCTCTGGTCTCTCTCTGGTCTCTCTCTGGTCTCTCACTGGTCCCTCTCTGGTCTCTGTCTGGTCTCTCACTGGTCTCTCACTGGTCTCTCACTGGTCTCTCACTGGTCTCTCACTGGTCTCTCTCTGGTCTCTCTCTGGTCTCTCTCTGGTCTCTCTCTGGTCTCTCTCTGGTCTCTCTCTGGTCTCTCTCTGGTCTCTCTCTCTGGTCTCTCTCTGGTCTCTCTCTGGTCTCTCTCTGGTCTCTCTCTGCTCTCTCTCTGGTCTCTCTGGTCCCTCTTTGGTCTTGTTCTGGTTAAAAAATACCCTGCTCTCTTCCTTACAGCTGTCCAAACCTGCTGCACCTGAGTCTGTCTGGCTGCGGACACATCTCAGACCAGGATATCCTCCAGGTGCTGCGGGACTGTCCCCGGCTGCGGAGTCTTCACCTGGAGAACTGCGTGCGGATCACAGACACTGCGCTGGAGGCGGTGGAGAGACACGGCCGCAGCCTGGAGGAGCTCAGGGTGGACTTCTGCAGGAACATCTCCCACAGAGGTCTGCAGCAGCTGGGGCAGAACCGGCCCAAACTGCGGCTGCAAGCGGAGAGGAGTGCCGCCATGATCCCAGACATACAGCCCCAGGACCGCGGCACCCGGAGGACACTGCAGAAGCTCCTCATCTACTCCTGA